GCGGGCCTTGCGGTCTGCACAAATATGAGAGCTTTGGATGTCTGCTAAGGACCAGTGATGCTGCTGGAAAGTCATATATTTGGTGATGGAGAAAGAGAGGGAGAAATAGAAAATAATACAAAGAAGGTGAATGTGTGGATTACTGAGTCTCCCACATACCACCTGTGCTGTCAGCTGTTCTGGGGAACAGGCACTGAACAGTAGGGGTGCAGAGGTTTATTGGGCAGCAGCACCTGTAGGGGCTGGGAAGGAAGCCGGATCCTCAGAGAGCCAGTCCGCTGGATCCTGGGAGTGGCCAGGCCTGTGTCTTTGCCCTGCTCAGGGTTGGGGCTGCCTAGAGAGGACTAAGGCCTTGCCTGAGAGGACTAAGGCCTTGCCTGAGTGGCCTCAGAGACCTTGAGCATGCACAGCTGGAGGTCATCACCTAAAACTACTCTGCCTTCTGAGGGTCTGGGCAGTGTCCACACAGTGGCTATACAGCCATGAAGAGTTAGGGCTCTATTCACAGAGTAACAAAGAGCCATCAGCATGAGTGGGAGCAGTTTTTTAAGTAGAAGTAACATGACTCAGACTTGTGGGCTGTTGCAATTATGCAGTGTGCTTAGCACTCTGCCAAAAACTGTAAGGAGATTGATATATATCTAGGAAAGAAAGTCATTGTCCATAGGAATTTATTATCTAGACATCCAGAAAGAAAATTAATATATGTGGAGCAGTGGTGAATAATAGAGTGCAAAGAAGGGCACAGTGGCTTGCCTGAGAGGGTCAGAGGAGGATATTGCTTCTCATTCAGGTACAGTTTGATAGGAGTTTGAGAGAGAAAGTCATTTAGCAGACACCGATTAAATGTCCCCCATGCAGGGGTCCTGGTGATAGCGCCATTGTGACAGCCAGGTGCAGAAGGGACTTTGCAGGACCAGGGTCGACAGCCCCCTGGAGTGATTGCACAGATGGTCATACAGACACCAGGGAGGGAAAAGGAGGAAGAGGGTGGCCCAAGAGGAAAAGCGCCAGGGGGCTACATCAAAGCTGGCTCCAGGCTCAGGTCCTAGTACCCATGGGGACAGGGTTGTTGAAAAGCACAGTGTGCAGCAGCAGCTCTGAGGACACCAATGACGGCCTGTAGGTTGAAGTCAAGGAAGACAAGTCCTGGCAAGAAACAAGAAGCTGCAGGGGTGCCATGATGTCTGGGGAAAGGTGGAAATAAGTCCTTCAGGTGACAGCGTGCTGGAGAGATGGGGGACTGGGTGCTCTTGCCATGGAGGTATTGCTGCCTGGCTGCTGTGTCTGCTTTTGGCATGCAACCCGTTTTATTTTAGTCTCCGAGTTGCACATACGGTTAGCCTTCGTGACTCAGAGCAGAGAGGCAGGATGCAGAAGTCACTCTTCCACAGCACAGCTGGGACTAGAATTTGGCTTTTTCTCATCTTCAGTCCAATAATCTGTTCCCAAACCACAGCTTCTCACACTTTTCACATACAGATTCATCCTTGATTAACACTGTATTTAAACTTTTAAAATGCCACCTTGATTACTAATGAAATTCTCTAGGGAGCAGAGAAGCTTTTGGAGTGAAATATGATCTTAAATATGATGCTGCAGCTGCCTGGATCCTTCTGGGTCCTGCAGCAGCACTTGGTGATCCAAACAGCCTGGGTTCTGGGTACGACAGTCTTCCAGGTCAGATCCTATAGAAAGGAAAACTGAAACCATGTCTGAAATGACTTGATTCTGAATGACATGAAGAGCAGGGGTGGTGAAGTCATTTCCACCTTTGTCATCCAGAGAAGGACCTGGCTGTGAACAAACTGAGGATGCACGCGGATGGAGAGCTCACATAGGTAGATCCTCAGCATCTCTGGAGCCTTTGGTGAATGGTGTACTCTGGTGGTTTATTCAGAGTTTTCTTCCCATTTGTGCTTGCTGCTCAAAGGAAGGCGGGTTGGCTCCCATTTTAAACTTCTTGTTGGAAGAGCTGTGTGCACACCGCAGGTTTCAGCTTGTCCTGTGCTTCTAGTATTTTCTCATGTGGTGGGAGGCTGTCCCTGGTCCTGCTGGCATTGTGCCTAGAACTCTGTAGAGACTAAAAGTCTGACATCTAGCTGGGAAAGGTTTGCTTTGATGCTAAGTAGGCTAATGTGTGTATGGTGGAGAGTTTGGCCTTGCCCAGAAAAGAAGTCTGGCCTTTGTCCCCAGCAGCTAGAAGGCCACTTGTGTCAGGTCAGATAGGGGTGTTATGTATGGGCCAGAGCCAGTCATACCTGGCAGTTCTGGGACGGGCTGTGCACAGTGGGAAGACCAGCCTGTGATCTGGCAGCCTTTGAGTCCTGTAGCAGTCCACTGGAGGCTGAGATCAGTCATGTAGACAGTCCACTAGTCAGCCATAGCTCTGCAGTGGATCCTGGATGGCCTTACTGGTTGGCATCTTGCATCTTGTCACATCCATCCTGGAAGGGTAGCATGTCCAGACTCCAGAGAGAGAACATAGAAAGTCCTCAATTGAAGCTTTCCTGAACTATAACGTGTGGTCTCTTGACTGCTGACCTATATTTCTCTGCAGTAAATGGTAACTGGGATTGGAAGCTTGTTCGGGGCATCCTAGTGAAGTACTGGAACTGAGGGGGTTGGGAGCCCTTCCCTTGTGGGTGGCATCAGACATAACTGGAGCTGTGTGGAGGAACTTCAGATACACTGACAACACAGAGAACCTGTGACAATCGCTTAGGACAGGCACCTTCCACCCTTACTCCCTGCACACTGTGGCACTTGTATATTTGTTAAGCCTAGGCACAAGGGGTTAACCTGGGGACCCCATGTTCTTCCACCATGCCACTGTGATGAAGAGGGCAGCAGGCATACAGCCAGGCTCTGGATCTGGGGAAAGTAGGAAGGTGCAGTGTTTATGCTGGAGCCACAGAAAGGGGCCGTGATGGAGAATTGTGGAAGGTGTTGCAGACACCTCTACAGCCCAGGCCACACAGCTGTCTCCAGGGTCCAGTTGGTGGCCCTTGCAGGAGTCGTGGAACCATCTCCTACCAGCTGGGTTTGGCCAGTCTATCCAGGGTACTTGAAGAGACTGTCCATGTGTGGATGTGGAAAGGGAGAAAGAGGACGATGGAGCCTGAGCTTCTAAGGAGGTACCTGTGTTGGTGACAGTCTTGTCAGCTTTCGCAGAGAGGGTTTTCAGTGCATATATTTCTCATCTACAGACTCAAGCCACGAGTGAGTGTCTTAGAACTCCATGTCCATGCTGGTACAACCCCAATAGCCCTTTCTGTCCCTTTCCCAGGGACACGTTCCTTCCAGGCAGCTGACCCATGTGCACTGGTGCTTGGAAGCCATGTGGAGATCGCTGGTAAAGTGGCTTCCTGTGCTATTTCTTGAGGTCCTAAAGAAACATCTCCCCGGGAGTTGCCTCTGCCTTCATGTAGCCTGTGGACAGAGCTCTCTTCTGGTTTTCTAGAGCGGACAGCCCTGCCTTCCCTGTCATTCTTACTCCTCCTGTCCTATGTGGGGAGCCCTCGGCAGGCATCTGGGGCACAGCCCATGGCCCTGGCTGGCTGTGCTCACTGAAGTGTGAGCAGACAGTCCTCACCATCTTGTGCCAAGTTCACCTCCCAGCCTTGGTCTTTCCTCCACGGCGGGTCCTGATGATGCCCCACTGCCAGTTTCTTTGCACAGTCATTCTGCAACCGATCCTAAGGCTACGTGTGCAGACCTCCTTGATGGAACCAGTGTCTCCCTGTAGAAGTAGAAGTGCTTTCTTGAATTCGGGAAGCTTTTTTTTAGCCTTACCTTGTCAATGCTTTAGAGAACTACCCAGTTTCTTCATCTCATGTTTCTTGTCCCATCACTGTGCCTCCTTGAAGAAACAGAAAGTATTTTTGTTCCTAAATGAAAAGACATGGAGAGAGCATTGGTGTGGCGGAACCGTGTGGTGGAAGTCAGCCTAGCCCTGTGCCCCATCCTGAGGTGCAGCTTCTGAATGTCGCTTAGACAGGGGATCATTCGAGGCAGTGGGTTACTGCAGTGGGAATTATTAATCTGTTCAATCTTAATAAATAGCAAGGATCACACTCTAGACTCTAAATTGCTTTGAACATTTTCCTTCTGGGAGAAAAAGTCTCAGTCAGATGTAATTAAGCTTGATACCTGGTGGATAAAATTAAACTAGCTGTGGAGCAGGAAGAAACGTGCCCACACCTCAGGGTTTTGCACATGCCGTTGTCACCGCAGACACACCCTTCCTGCGGTAGCACCACGGCCACCCGTTCCAGAACAGCACTCTGTGCAACCATCCTTCACTGCTCTTTCTAAACTGGCAGCGTCCCGGTCGCCTCCTCGTTTGCCCTCTGCACGTGCTGTCTGCTGCACTTGCCCTCTCCATAAGCATATGTTTATAGCCCACTAGTCCATAAGCTGTACAGTTCAGGCCTTGGTGAGTCGCCCCATGCACAGCCCTTCTGTCAGGACTCTGGATTATCTGTTGAATGCATGGAAGATAAACGGAGCTCCTAGGGAGGCCTCCGTTGACTCTCTGGGGTTGACAGCACACATGTACAGTGTGGGAGCCACAGAGGGGCCGTGATAGAGAATTGTAGAGAGTGGTATGGACCCCTGACAGCCCAGGCCACACAGCTGTCACCGGGGTCCAGTCAGTGGCCTGTTGCTGCAGATGTGGAACCATCTGTCACCAGCTGATTTTGGCCCCTGCGTCTAGGGTACTTGAAGAGTCTGTCCATGTGTGGATGTGGAGGGGGAGAAAGAAGATGGAGGCTGAGCTTCTAAGGAGTGACCTGTGGAGATTTGTATTCTCCTTGAGAGGGAACTGTGTAGGAACTTTGAAAATCATAGTGGAGGCAAGGAGGTCCTCCTGGCTCCATGCTCAGCCTCCCCTCCTCCTGGTCTGAGAGTTCATCTCCTGCCCACCTTCTTCTCCTGTCTCCTTAGCTGTTGCAGTAACCAGATGGCACTAATGGAAAACACATCATGTTTTCTAGGATTCCTGGCCGACTGAATGACCGGAGGACTCCTCTGGGTGAGCTGAACTGGATCTTCACAGCTATCACAGACACCATCGCATGGAACGTGCTCCCCCGGGGTGAGACTGTGGGCTGCCCGACCACTTGCGGGTACTGCTGACCCTGGGGTAGGAGAGTAGTTAAAGGGGATCGGTGAGGAAAACTGACAGGAACAAGAGGAGGGAGTGAAAAGGACGCAGCCAGAGCCTAAGGAGGCTTCCGTGAGGAGGACAGAGTGACCGTGTGTTGAGCGCCGGCAGCAGTGATGCACAGTGAGCTCAGCATCGGCTGAGTGCCAGCCTGTGCTTTTCCAGGCTGGGCTCAGGGCTTGGCTTTCTTTATGGATTTTGGGGCTGTCCCTACTCCCTCAAACCACAATTGCCATTCTAAGACTTACTTGTATTTTTTGTTTTTTGGTTGCTCATTTGTGTATAAATTTACATGTGGATGTATTCTTATGTGTGTCTGTACTTATATACATCCGTGTGTTTATGAGTTGTGTATGTGTGTTTGCATTGGAAATGTGTGTTAGCCCCAACCAGTTTATAGTAATTTTGGGTAAATGTAAATTGTATATTTGCCTTTAAATGCTGGGCACCAATCTCTCTGAAGACTCCATTTATTTTGTCTACCCTCAGATCTTTTCCAAAAGCTCTTCAGACAAGACCTGCTGGTGGCAAGTCTATTTCGAAATTTTTTATTGGCAGAAAGGATCATGAGGTCATACAACTGCACCCCTGTCAGCAGCCCCCGACTCCCACCAACTTACATGCACGCGATGTGGTAAGTGTCCTGGCGATGGCACTGCCAGTGATAGGTTTGATGGTGTGCACACCCTGCTACAGCTTCGCAGGTGTAATGAGCTCTGTGCTCCCAGTAGGGAGGCCTGTCCCCAGACTGACAGAGCTGAATAGATTGGGAGGATCTTCAGAAGTGAGAGGTCACCAAGAACATTTCTATATCATCAGGCTCAGTGGCCTCAGGCCCGGAAGTTCTGCAGTTCAGAATACAGCAGCAGGCACAGGACTGCTAACCATGTAGAGACATGTATTGCGAGAAAGAAAATGTTGCCTGGGTCTATGAAGAGCATCCAGGATTGCTCTAAGAGTTAAAATCACTGGGCTGATGACCAGTTAATGTGTATGCTTTTCTCTCACACGTACATTTTAGCCTTTTATTGCTGTTTACAATTTTCTCCCATTGCTGGTCTCCTACTACTTCTTTATACTAGTAATATTCATAACTACAAGAATAATAATATAATTTTGTTTTAACTTAGATATAGCTGAAGATATGGTTTCTTCTGGTTTCATTGTTTTCTGTTTTAGCTTTTTGTTACTATAACAAAGAGGTAATCGACTTAGGAGGAGGAAAGCTTTACTTAGGCTCATAGTTTCAGCGGTTTCCGTCTGTGGTCTTTTGGCCCGTTGCCTTTGGATCTGTGGTAAGGCTGCTCACCGTGGTAGGAGTGTGTGGTAGAGGAAACTGCTCACTTGGTGGCAGCTGAGAGCAAAGAGAGGAGGAGAAGATGCCGTGAACTGTGTCCTCTTGAAAGATATACCTTCAGGAACTTAACTTCTCCTAAGTGTCCCCTCTTCCTGAAGGTTGCACACCTCCCATAGCGCGTAGGCTGGAGACCATACCTGAGATACATGGGCTTCTGGGGACACTCCACATAGAACAGCAGCACTCGTTACACAGGTAGGCTTTGGGCAAACTCCAGTGTGGGATAACGAGGAGGTCTTAGTTCATCACTTCAGTAGGAGAGTCCCTAATGCAAAAGTTGAAGGGGCATTTCACCTGTACTTAAGCTTAAAGTCCATTGCATGATTTATCCTGGTGGCCACACTCACTAGCGACTTAAATTTCCAAGTAGGTAAGTAGCAGCTTTCTCCCAGCACGAGCCACACAGAGTAAGGACTGTGTAAACTCTCTGCTCTCGTCCACTCAAAGACAGTCAGGAACTGCGTTACTTAAATGTGATAAACCAAAAATGCAGCGTGCCCAGCACACTTGGGATGTCAACAGCACACTTGGGATCTGTCTACCTCATAAGGGCTTCTGGGTTCAGACAGAGCACTGGTGGGGAGAAAAGAAGCCAAAATAGACCACTATAGAAGCCCCGCTGACAGCATCTCGAGCAGTGTGCATAGGACACAGTGTGACAGATTCACTTTCCAAGATGTTGTAAGTGGCAGAGCTGACAGCCACAGTAATACACAGAGCAAATGATTACACATTTGTGAGGTACTTAGAGTGAACTTTTTTGTGAGACTTCATCTTCAAAACATCCTTTTTCACTGACATGGTGGCACACACATGTAATCCCAACACTCTGGGAGGCTGAAGCAGGAGGATCACAAATTTTAGTCCTCCTGGGCAACTTAGTCAGACCCTGTGTAAAAAAATAAAAAGAAAGCTTTAGTCCTTTAAGAAAAGTAATGTCTTACATCCTATTTCTTCTAATGCAGGTTTAATTTTTTTTGTTGTTGTTACAAAAAGGGAAAGTAGGACCCGGGATTTAGCTCAGTGGTTCTGCCACCTGCCTTGAAAGCGCAAGAACCCAAGTTCCATCCCTGGTACCAAAAAAAAAAAAAAAAAAGA